TCTGACTCAACCCTTCAAAAGCAAACTGCTCCCAGGAGCCAAGGGCAGCTGCTTTGACCATGCCCTGGGCTGCAAGCATTTCTCCTTCCTTCAGCTCAGCCAGCAGCCCAAGAAGCCTTCAGAGACTTCCCTGCTCTCTTCCTCACCATCACTGAAAGGAAGAAAACTGGCTTTGCAGACTCCCTTTCATCAATTTCTTCTTCAAGACATTGTAACTCTCATATTTTGGCTCTGTTGTATAAAGCCTTCCCAGCTGACGTGGTATACATTGTGTTATTTTGCAATTAAAACCCATACTTACAGACCCAGAAATTTTAATAAAACTTTTGTTATCAAGTTTTATTATTCCAACAAGTGTTGCTGTCAGCTAATAATCCCTAGAGTGGCCATCATGAAATATTCTAATAATTGGATTTTAATTATACAATTCACTTAGTCCTACATTATTTTTGAAATCTAATTATGTCTTCTGGAAACTCACCCAAGTTCTGGTATTTTCTGGACCTAATATACAGACTTAGTACAGACTTCTTTCTTACTTTATTTTTCTCCACTTCTTATAGTTATTATAGAAACTCTTCTATTTCCTGTATTTCCACTGTAGAAAATTATCTAGATCTAATGGATAAAATAAAAGTGGAATGCAAATAAAAATATCTATACATAATTATATAATTATAGCTATATATATAATTATAAATATTATGTTAGAAAAGAAACTCCCTATGCAATGGAAGTTCGAAAGTTTTTTACTTACTAAATTAATGATTTCCCCTCCTCCTTGAATTTAAAGACATTACTAATGAGAAATCCCATAGATAAACTTGGCTGTAAGTTTTATTCATATAGATTATAATTTATGTTTTACCTCATCTCAAGTATTTTTTGTGTACACTGAATGTCACCTGCAAAAAGTCTTATGAAGCCTGTAGGCTTACTCATGTTTTATATCACAGAAGCACTGAGTGGTCCAGACACAGCTGTTTCTACATTACCTTTTAGTCTTCTTTGATGCTGAACATCACAACTCACTCCAGCATGGTGTGAATCCTCATGGTATAGTGTCAGGAGAAATAGTTAAGAGCACCATGAATACAAGGCACTTCTCTTGAGGGGATTAGAGTATTCCTGTATTTTTCCATATGGGATACAGAGAAACATCACTTTGTGGTATGCCTTTGACTGTAAGTAGGCAGAAATCAATGTAATAAAAATAAAAGTCTCACAGAGATATTTTTATATTTAGAAATAGTAATAGTACATACAGTCATATTCTGACCTTGAAAAATGGAAATAAAATGTGACAAGGGACTCTGTTTGTAGTATTTATACCAACCATAAAAATGCTCTCTTCAAACATGAAGATTTCCTTGAAACAAAAGAAATCTATTTAAAATGTGAAGAGGGGAAGGGATAAGAAGAGAAGGTCTGATGAGTTAATGGTTGGTAATATGAAGAACATTTCAATAAGATTATTTACATGAGTGATATGAGGCATCTGGCCCACACACTGTATGGTACAAATATAGAAAAGCTGTGGAGGCCATAATCTGTCATTGTAGTGCATATGCAACTCCAGCTGAATTCAGTAGTACTTCAGCTTGCATATAGATAAGATAGCAGAGTTGCACATGCCCTACATATGTACTGTGCAGTTTACAGGCTGGACACTTCATAGCACTCATTAAATAATCTTACTGAAATATTCTTCATATTGCCATACACTGATTCATCAGACTTTCTCTTCTTATTCCTTTGCTTCTTCGCATTTTAAATAGATTTCATTGTTGTCTGGCCCACCTTTGCCTTCTTTGCTTTGCTTTGCTTTGCTTTTTTTCACAATCAGTTTATTTCCAAAATAAGAGATGTGGCTTCTATGAATAGGATTCCATGGGATTCAGTTCTATTTACTGTTTCATAAATAATTGTCCATGTTTAGACAGGTTAGCTACACTGTGCAGTAAGTTTAGCACAATCATTTGATATTTATCATTACAGCATTGTATTTTCTTCTAGTGCCTCAAGCAATTAAACCATGTGCCCATCTTCCATTGGAACCTGTAACAGTTATTAATCACTTGCCATTGTCTCTGGATTTTCTGCTTGCGACCCTTTCAGTTCTTCAAGCCAGGACGCTATCTTTGCAGAAACAGGGCAGATATCTAAAGGCTAGAATGTAATTCCAAGCTTTAAAAATAGTCCAATTACATTCTAAAGTCTAACTGGTCTTTTTAAAAGTCCGTTACTAAGCCGAAAACTTGCGATTCTTTAAAACCTCACTAGCTGATACTCTTTGATGAGGACTTTATTGTTAAAATTGCAAACAGCATCCAAATGGCTGAAATTAAAATTCACTAATTCACTGTAAAAATCTAATATTCCACTTAAGCTGCTGCACCAATATTACAGGATCAGATGAAAGTCAAATGACTGTATCCAAAAATCTTAAATGTCAGATTTTTATATGCATTTTATCATTTTATTCCTTTTGAAAAAGTATCACATGTTCACAGGTAGAATACTTTGGAGTTTGCATTTTTTTTCCTTTAATAATAAAAATGCTTAATCCAGACTCCTATATACTCCTTACTCCCTTCTTCTGGAATGGCAGTGGAGAAAAGAGCAATCCAAGCAGCATTTCTGAAGGAAATCTCAGTTCTCTTGTAGTTAGAAAGTTTGTCCCAGCGGCCTCTGGCTAAGGAGGTCAGCTGAAGGGCAAAGAAAGAAGCCCTCAGTTAAGCCAATGAAACCTTGGAATGGTCTGAACCTTCAGTAAATAGATTCATCCATCCTTAAGAACTTTGCTTCAATTCAAATAGATGCCACACACTTTGCTTCAATTCAAATAGATGCCACACAGACCAGGCTGTTTATAGGAGACCTTGCTGATTTCACAGGGTGAGGACATTTCAATGGGATGAAGTAAAGATGAGGCATGCTTGTGATTCCAGTGGAGCCAGGAACTCCTCCATAATGCTCCTCTAGACAAGGTATAAGGATCTGGATGAGAAAGACTAGGAGGACCTTCTTCTATTTGACCAGCTGAAGGAATGATTATTCTCCTAGGACTACTGCCTTGTCACTCTAACGTGAAGGCAGTGATCAGAACTTGGGTATAACTGAATCAAGTTATACGTAGAGTTGAATTGCTCCTTCCTGAAGAAATTCCTGTCTTCTCCAGGAACATGATCTACTGAAACCTGGTAGACTTTGCTGTTTCTGCTCCATACTAACCTGACAATTTCATATCTCAAATAAGAGTAATTGTGCTGTGTTAAACAGCAAGTTATTGCAATGGTCAGCAGTGTGCTCCACACAGTCTATGGCAAGTTTGTTCTATGCAAAAAGAGCAGTATCTATCTAGCCATATCCTCTCTCCCTCTGTTTCTCATCTCTCATCTCTCTAGATCATTTATTAGGTGTGGTTCTAGCCCCAGATTTGCGGAGAAGTGAGAGTGAGAGAGATAGGAAGGAGGTAGTTGCAAGGGAAAAGTCAGCTGCAATTTTTTGTTATCCTTTTGAAACAAGAAGTCCCTAGGCAGCTTTAGCCTGCACTGCAACGCAGAGGCTGTCTGGAGGGGCAGGATGACAGTATGATTCCTTGCAGGCTGCACACTTCTGTTCAAAGCTGTGACATGAGCATTCTGCATGTCTAGCAGAGTGATGGTGCTGGAAGCATATGGAGGTGTCCATCTTCCAGGTGTTTGGAGCAGAAACGGCTATGGGGGAGGGCTCTGGTGCAGCTCTTTCAAAGAGTAATCATTACCTTCCTCATTCTTTTCCTGCTCCCCTTTTATTATAGTGTTTCAAACTCAGACCCCAAAATTAAACCAGTATTTTACAGCTTGATACTGAAGCCTCAGATCACAGATATTAGTTACCCCTATATGCTCTGAGAGAAGGATTTGACAGGACAACTGAAATATTTTCTTTCTCATTTCCCTCTCTGTACAGCTTACTGGTTTTCTTCCTGCTTTGGCTTTGGGAAGTCATAAATCTGAGGTTTGCTATTGAGTTAGGGTATCTGGTAAGGATGCTCTGTGTTGCTGGTATCCTCCCCTTCACCCTGTCCCAATGTCACACTAGTAATGATACCGTTTAGGGGATTGAAGAGTGTATGAAAAACATCCATAGCATTTTTTGTAAAGTAGAAGCAAAAACAGGTCGGTGAGACCTTTCCATTTGAATGACAGCTGGCAGGATAAGCCACAGCACCAGACAGGGGTGAGTTTTCCAGCTTCACTCAGAGGGGCTGTCCAGCTACAGGTTCCCGCTAGCGTGGGAGAAGCAACCCTTCCATCCTGGAGCCTGGCTCCCGCAGCCGTCACCCATCTGGGCTCCGCGATCCTGCCACCTGCGTGCCTGGCTGGCGCGACTTCCCCGGCGGAGCAGCTCTGTCCGTGCACGGGACACCGCAGAGGGAGGAAAAACTGAAATGAAAAGGAAGAAAGAGGAAGAAGGTGTTCTGCCGTGCTCCTTTAAGGCGGACAGCCGGCTCCCGCGGGCAGGCAGAGAGGGAAAGGGCTGTGCCCAGGCAGCAGAGCGGGCAGCAGGGAGGGCAGGGAGGGCAGCGCCCGCTCCCGGGCAGAGGCAGGCAGCAGGGCAGATAGTACGGGCAGCACGGGCTGGGCAGGACACACGGCAGGCGGCAGGGCGGGCAGGGCAGGCAGCAGGGACAGGGCAGGCAGCAGGGACAGGGCAGGGCACACGGCAGGCAGCAGCGCGGGCACGGTGGGCAGGGCGGGCAGCGCAAGGCAGGGAGGGCTCTAATTCATCACCCCGTTCAGCGGAGAGGATGGGACGCCGCTAAACTCCCCTTCCTCCCTCCTCCCTTCCCCCCTCGCCAAGCAAGCCCCACTCCCCTTCCTCCCTCCTCCCTCCCCCCCTCGCCAAGCAAGCCCCCCCCCCTCCTCCCCCCTCCGCTGCTCTTTCTCTTTCCCCAAGCAGTGAGCCTCGGACAGTGCTCGGCTCCAGCGCTTTATTTTAAGATGATCGGCCAAGGTCTTTGCAGATAGATTTTATCTGAAGTTAAATAGCAGGCGCTCTCCGCTCACTCGCCAATAAGTCATTTTTAATAGAGACAAATCGCCCTGGACGCCCAGGAGCGCCGGTGTCGCCGCTCCTGCCCGCGCCCCCCGCCGAAGGCGAGCGGGCAGCCCGGGCAGCTCCCTCCTCCCGTAAGTGTCCTGCTCGGCGGATCCAGAGCGCGGCCGTGTGCGGAGAAGGGGAGGCAAGGGGGGGAGAGCCTGCCAGCCGCCCCGCCGCCCTGACAGTGCCTGCGCTGGATGCACAGCGGCCGCGGGACACCTCGGCGCGGAGCGCGGCCAGGAGATGCGCAGGGGTGGTGGGCTGCGCGGCGGCACTCAGCCCCTCTAGGCTCGCCCATGGAGCGTCCCGCGGAGCCCCGTCCGCCGTCGGATCCCCCACGCCGTACGTATCCCCACAGCGACCCCCCCGCGGCGGCGGGGCTGTCCGCGGGCCGCGGGGGCGGAGAAGGGCTGGGGCCGGGATGGGGGTCCTCGCCCGTCGGGGCGCTCCGGGGCGCGGTCCCGGCCCGGGGCAAGGCACGGCACGCCTTTAGGAGCGGCAGAGGGAGGTGGGCGCTTGCAGGGGTAAGCAGATCCTGCTCGGGCGTCCCGAAGGCAAAGCTCTCTGCCTCGGCTTTAAGCGCCCAGAAGCATCCGGAGCCACAACCCCAGCGTCTGCTGTCGCCTTCTCCCAGCTCCGGCGCCGCTCCGCTCCCTAGCTCGCTGCCGGGGCTCCGCAGCCAACTGGCGGGCGGCTGCCGCCCGGTCCCCGCCGAGGGCACACGGACCGGCAGGACTGGCAGTGGCACCCCCGGCCGTCCCAGCCTACACCACGGGGCTCTCCCGCCCAGTAAAGGGACTGAGCGCCGGGGAGCGCTGCCTATAGGCGGTCTGCCGCCACCTCGGACCGTGCGATCACTTTGTTTTGTCGATGGATTAACTCGATTTTAATCGTTTTTTGTTTCGCCCACCCCATTCACACACCCCATCTCCTCCTTCTCTCCGGCCGCCGCCCCCCGCGCCCCCCCTTTTCCTACACACCTCTCTTCCCCCCTTGTGCTAAGCCTAACCTTGTCTTGTGGTCATGGGATCTATAATTTCGTTTTTGTCTAGGCTGGTGAGAGCTCTGCTTGTTCTGTAAAGTGGATGTCAGGTGGATCTATGTTCTGGAAGGAACAAAGAGGCAGCGAAAGCAGCGCGGGGGAAGTTTGAGCGGCGAGGATGCAGGCTGTGTACTGGTACGCGGTCCTTCTGCTGCAGCCCACTCTCTACCTGGTGAGTGTCCCCGGCCCCTCTCACGGGCCGGGCACGGGGAAGGTCGTCGGGGAGGAGGGCGCCAGCCTGGCGGAGAACGAACAAACTCACGGCAACTACTTGCACCCGCAGCCAGCCTTGCCCCGTCCTCCCGGGGCCGGGGCGGTGCGGGTCCCGGCCGGGAAATCTCGGCGGGGCGCGAGGAGTGGGGGCGCAGACCTGTAACTTCTCGGCGGGGAAGGGGTGCTCCCATGGGCCAGAGCAGGGTCGGGCTCTCCTGGGCCGCGTCCCCGGTGCTGCCTCCCGGACCGGTCCCTGGATGTCTGCGTGGGCACCAGAGCACCGCCCCGGGGGCGCCCGGTGGGGCTGTGGGATGGAGGCAACTTCCTGCCCTCTGCTCTCTCCTGAGGGTGGGAGCCCCTCCGGAAGGGGACCCCCGCGGTGTGCCACTACGGGCGGTGCGGCACAGGCAGGCACTCGGCGGCGAGCACAGCTAGTATTTTCCGCGAGAGGTGTCATTGACTTTCGTAGCAAATCTCCTTTAAGATTACAGCGGGAGCATCAGTAAACATCGGCGTTATCTCCTTTCACACACACACACGCGTGCACACTTTATTCCCGCTACGATTGCAAGGAACAAAAACCAGGCAGACTGTCCCTTTGCAGCCCGCATCCTCTCTCGCTTGTGATGCGTTAAGCAGGCAAACGCTTGGCGGCAGCTCATCCCCGTGGCTACGGGGGAGGGAAAAGACCTTTTTCCAGGAGCGTTGCCGAGAGAAGCACACCGGCGCCCGTGCTGCTGGTGGTGACGGCGACGGCCCGGCTCCGGCTCTCGGGCTCCGGTTCCGGTTGCGGCTCCCGGGCTCCCTCCCGGGCTCCGGGCTCTGCCCGCGCCGCCGCTCCCTGCGCCGTGGCGGCCGCGCCACCCGG